ACACGAAGAACTTCAAGATTTATTCAAGTTTTATAACCCGGTGATGTCTTATATACAAACTTTGATGTATTTTGTTATTTTGAGCATGCTAGGCTAGATTTATTTATGCTAGGAGATCGATGAACCATTGATTTGAATTTTAATATTCTAGTTTTGCAATTTGATGTAAGACACAATTTCTATTATGTTGAATGATTTATATGCAATTAAATGTTTTTTCAATTAAGAGCTCGTAATTGTGTGAATTTAAATGATTTATTCTTGCATTCGAGAGAATTGGAATAGATTTGACATAGTATAAATCATCGTAGGGTCCGACAGTAGATAGAAATATACCATTATGCTTTATGTGAATTTTTAAATGTTCATAAAATTGCATGCATTTTTACATATGCTCTTGTCATAGAAATATAGACCGATGGTATGTAGAGATAGGTTTGATACATCTCGAGAGAGAGTATTGGATAGATTTAGGAACATTGATTAGTCAAAATTGAATTGTGTTGTCATATTGTGAAACTAGGATTTAAAGTGAAAATTACATGGGAATTCGTGATCCTAGCGTATTTCATTCCCAATAATTATAACAAGTGCGTTCTCAACTTTTAGATTCCATTCTCAAGTTTAATTTATTGTTTTGCATATTAATTTCAATTTAATCATAAGAAATTTTTTTTTTTTTGCATAATTGAGGTTCAATTAGATCTACATTCACTTTGATAATTTAGTTTCGGTTAAAGCTAAGGTAGATAAAATTTGAACTACTCAATCTCTGTGGAACGATATTCGGACTCATTGAATCCACTTTATTACTTGTTAACGAACCGTACACTTGCGGTGATTTAAAATCGAAAAAAATAATTTCGTGAACACCTTTCAACCCCAAGTTCAACTTTATTTTTTAAATTTCAAAGAAACAAAATTGAGTGGACCGAGTTTTTCTCAATCATTCTTCCGTTTCTTAAATAATCGAAACTGAGTGATTGCGCTTCTCTTTATCTTACCATTCTTCTGCCTTATTCAATGAATGTTCCCCACTTTAGTCAAAGAAATTTGTATATATTAGTGAATGGATCTTATTGATAAATTGTTATTTGTATATTTAAAAGTAAACTATGTTATTTTGTAAGAGTAAATGTAATATTATTGTAAGAGTCAAAATTGAACATGTTATTAATTGTATTAAATGTAATATTATTGTAAATGTTAAAAAAATTTAATTATGCTACGAAACCTAATAAAAAATACTGGTTGAGTCCAATTCTCTTTAAAATCGAACAAAATAGGACTATGTCCAGCCCTAATCTCAGTAATGCAATACGTTGTTAGCTCATATAATATAGATTTCAATCATTCCAAAACCTTTTTATATTATTCATTTTCAACCAAAAAAAAAAAGAAAAGAAAAAAGAAATTGGTGAGAAAAAAAATTAATAAATATATTTTCATTGATTCATTAGGTAACCTCAAATTTATTGAGAAAGAGATTAGATTGGAAAGGAAATGAGTTTATTGGTTTAATTTATTTAACATTAGAACAATTAAAATTTTTTGAAAAAATATTAATAATTCAATTGCACAATTAAAGTAGTTATTGATTTATTTATTTTTAAATAAGTTTACAAACCATAAAAAAAATATAATCTACTAAAGTATCTTTCAAAGTTAAATTATATTAGTAACCAAGCCAATTCAATGATCGAAAACGAAAATTTCATTACCCTAATAACATATTTTTTTTCAAAGAAGAAAAACCTTCAAAACATAGTAAAAGTTTACTATAGTTCATTAATTATTAATCAATTGCTTCCAACAAAAAATTAACCTCTTTAATATGTATTATAGAAAAACAAAAAAATCAATTTTTAAATAAATATGAAAATATTACAGATTTCTTTATAATTCCTAAGGGAAACATGTGGGTGGATGTTACAAATATGTTAAGACAAATAACTCTTAGTTATTAAGGTCTTTAAGATTGACAACAATCCTTTCTATTTCCACATAATTGTTAGTTTGTTACTTCACATTTAAGTGTAATTCTTTACAATTTCAAATAAAATTTTGATTCTTAACTATTCTATTATAATTATATAATATGATTATATATAGATGAGCTTTGATTATTAAGTGATTAAAACTTAATTGGATTAAAGTATATATTTTTATGTATTTCAAATAAATGAATAGAATTTATAATTTTTTCTTTTTATACTTAATAGAGACTACATAAAGCTAAATTATAATTAATGGGCCCCTATTATTCTACATTACAATGAGAGAAATATTAATTTTTTAGAGAGTGTGTGATTAAAAAGGAAGGAGAAGTTTTCAAGCTTACATATAATATTATTTTATTGAAAAATATGAGATTGATAAGATGAAAGAAAAATGAATTATAATTTAATGGGGATTAATGGGGCCGAACAGTTCATTTTAAATTAAATAAAT